CATATTCAAGACATACAAAAAAGTAAGATTGATTTTTCAGATCCTACTTCTTTAGCTGATCAAATACTTAGAGAATTGAATGACTTTACCCCTGGAAACATCCTAAAACACTCTGCATATCCTATATCCTTGTATTGTTCTCTTTGCTACTAATTCTCCCTTTTATTGTAATTGAAGGACGTTTTGCCCTCGGAACAAGAATTTGAGGACTCAAAATAGTGACCTATCACCTGCTTTTACAAAAAAAAAAGGGGGGGTAATATGTGGGAAGCCACAATGAATGACCACACTCTTCCAGTCCTGATACCTCAGATTCTGACCAACCACTGTATTCGCTCCGGTTTGGGCAGGGTCTAGCTCAGATAGTAAGAAAATCTTCTTTGTGGGATGTGCCCCTAGGTTTGAGTTACACTCACTTGTCCCTTGTAGTCCTTCCCTTCTTCCCTTTTTTGGATAGAACTTTCTAAGAACAAGAGTCCCCCAATAAAAGCTCACTTCCGAATGTACTCTGTCTCTCGCCAACCTCTCATGACTTTCCCTTGCTCTCCCTCTTGGGGTACCTGAGGCCGAGAGCAGGGAAGCCGTTCTGAAGCTTATGTAAAGGTAAATTGTGTCTGTGTTTTATTTGGTGCCCCTGCAAATTTACACAAGCAATCTTAAGTTCAGCTGCCTGCACTGGTTGGGAGCGGCAAAGGGCTAACTCCAAATGGCTCAGGTAACCATGGCTACAGAAGATGCTGTTCCCAAATGTTTGAAAACCTAGAAAATCCAGTCCTTTTTAAACACTTGCAGACACATGGAGTCCAAGTGCTTGTGTCTTGGCATCTGCCTCTAAATAGACTCAAGACCACAGGTTGGAAAGCACCATAGCCTTTGCCAAAGGGTTTGCCAAGGGGAGAGTGCAGACCTCACTCGAGTCCCCAGAGGAGGACACCTTGCTGTCTTGTGCATACGATGATGCACCTCCCATTTATAGGACACTGAAAACCAAATCTGCCCACTGGGCAACTGTATGACCCAAGCAAATGTCACCTCACCCACTCACGATGCCCTGCAAGCTTCTCAGTTTGCTTTCTGAACTTGAATTTTGGGGGAAAAAACTAATTTTGATTTCTTCTATTCTAAAGGAAATGAGACTGATTTACTTTTTGGCCCACCTACTTTTTTAAAGAGTCATGTAAAACTTCCCTCAGCGGTCCATCAAGAGTACAAACAGTAAATGCTATCTTGCATTCATCACTGTCCCTGAAATTGTGGGTACTGAACTAATTGCTACATTTTATTCTTTAATTGGCAGACACTATACATATTTATATTTTGATAAGATGTATCATTACACCTGCTTAATTTTCTGTTTTACTCTTTTTAGAGCTGGTTATTTTATTGTTTGCATCATAATTCATTAGGATTTTTTTCCTGATTTAAAATAGTTAGTCGAGTTCAAGTTCACTGTTTTTATCTGGATAGCTCTTAACATCCATAAACTGCTGTCATCACTTCCCAAATGTTTTTGAAAAGCTATATTTATCATTCATATATATATATATATATATATATAGTTTGCACTTTTATGCAGGGATATTCTTGAATCATGTGTTTTAATGGCTTATTGTTTTTTGGTTTTAAGTTTACTTTTTCTAATTCCACACTTAGAGAATGATTTTTTATTATGGTGAAATTCAAATAACAAATATGAACCATTTTAAAGATAATGAATCAATAGCATCTGGTCCCTTCACATTCACAATGTATGTAATACATTCACTCTGGTGTTCAGGCATCATATCCATCCAGTTCCAATCATTTCCATCATCTCATGATCAAAATCCTTCTCCATTAAGCATCACTTGCAAATCCTGACCCTCAGATCACACAACCATCAATTTTCCTCTGCTTGGGGCACTTACTTATTCTGGATGGCTCATAGACATCAATCATACAATATGTGACCTACTGTGTCTGGTTCCTTTCACTGAACTTTGGGATTTCAAGTTTATCCACATTATACCGGTATCCTTCATTCCTTTCTATGACTGAGTGCCATTCTGTGTTCTGGATACAACACATTCTGTCTTCCTATCCTTTCACAGATGGATATTTATGTTTCCAAATCTGGACTTGCATGAACAGCTGTTCTGAATATTTATTTGGATTCATGACTTTACTTTTTCTGAGCACTACACCTAGGGAGTGGAAAGGCTCAGTCATAAAGAGTAATTCTTTGCCCATTTTTGAGTTGGCATACAACTGTTTTCCACTGTGGGCACTTAGTTTTACATTAACAGCAATATGCAAGGGCTCAGATTTCTCCACATCCTCTGTGGCACTTGCTTTCTTTTTATCAAATTATTGTAACATCCTAGTGAGTGTGAAGGTCCATCTCATGGTGGTTTGCATTTTCATGACCCTGACTGCCACTAATGTAGAGCACCTTGTTGTGTGCCTTTCAGCCCTAGGAACATGTTCTTTATGCTTGTTTTTAATTTTTTTGTCTTTTTATTGTTTTTTTGTGTGGAGTTTTATTTGTTTTGCTTTAGATATAGATCTCTCTCTTATATATAATATTTGTAAAACGTTTCTCCCATTTTGAAGGTTATCTTTTTGTTTTGTTGGTACAGTTCTTAGACATACAAAAGTTTTTAATTTTGATGAAGTCAAATGTTTCTTTCTTTGTTCAGACTTGGTATCACATCTGAAAACTCATCATATCTACAATCATAAAATATTATACTTGTGAATGTAAATTAAAAGCCATTATAGAAAAGTATGAAAGTTCCTCAAAAAAATGAAAAAATCCTTACCCTATGTCCCAGCAATCCCACTACTGAGAAAATTTCCACAGGAAAGGAAAACTCTGTATCAAATTAATATCTGTACACTCCTGAATACTGCAGCACCATTCACAACAGACAATACTTGGAACTAACTCAAATATGCAAAATTCATACAACAGGCCAATAGTTAAAGAAAATGTATGCTTACACAATTAACACTATCCAGCCAAAAACAGGGATGAGATCCTGTCATCTGTGACAAGAATGACCAACTCTACAGGAAAATATGATGCCAAATGAGCCAGACACAGAAAGACAAATGCTACATAATTTCACTCCCATATGGAATCTTAAAAAGTTGACTACTTAATGGCTATGCCAATTAGATTCCCACCAACAGTGTGTGACAATTCCTTTTTCTACACAAAATGAAGGTTCCTCAAAACTCCAATAAAAGATCTACCATAGGATCCAGGAATCCCACTTCTGGGTATGCATCCAAGGGCACTAAATCAGCATAACAAAAAGATGCAGATCTGTGTTTATTGCTGCACAGTTTACAACAGCCAAGGTATGGGATCAACCTACATACCCAACAATGGATGAGCGAATAAAGAAACATATTAGCTTGGGCATCGAGGTATGTAATAAGACTCCTAAAAGCACAAGAAGCAAAACCAAAAATTAATAAGTAGATGGCATCAAATTACAAAGCTTCTGCACAGCAAAGGAAAAAATAAGAGTAGGAAGAGAGATCTTAGAGAATGGGAGATCTTTGCAACATGTGCCTCAGAGAAGCCACTAATATCCACAATATATAAAGAACTCAAAAACTTAACACCAAAACCAAAAATAACCCAACCAATAATCAGGCAACAGAACTAAACAGACACTTCTCAAAAGAAGAAAAACAGACAGACAACAAACATATGAAAAAATGTTCAACAAATGTAGCAATCAGGAAAATGTTAATCAAAACTAAATTGTTTCCTACAGTGGCTGCATTATTTCACATTCCTACCAGAAATGTACAAGGGATCAAATTTCTCCATTCTCTCTGGCCCTCATTTTTTAATTATCATAAATATTCTAGTGAGTGCTAAGTATTATATCATTGTAGTTTTAACTTGTATTTCATTGATTACTAATAATGTTAAGGAATATTGTGCTTTTTGGTCATATAAATATTTTCTTTACAGAACTGCCCAAGTCCTTTCCCCTTGTTAATTGTGGGGGTTTTTGTTGTTGCTGTTGTTATTGCCTTTTGATATCACTGTGATTTTTTATATATTTGGACATGAAAGCCGATACAATTGCAAATTTTTTTCTCCCATTTTGTAGGCTGCCTTTGGACTTTGTCTATTTTTATTTTAAAATTTTAATTTGTTACATATGACCGCAGAATGCATTACAATTCATATTACACATATAGAGCACAACTTTTCATATCGCTGACTGTACACAAAGTACAGTCACACCATCGTGTCTTTACACAGGGACTTAGGGTAATGATGTCCATCTCATTCCATCGTCTTTCCCATCCCCTGCCCCCTCCCTTCCCTTTGCCCTGTCTAGAGTTCATCTAATCCTCCCATGGCCTCCCTTTTAATACTGTCTTTGCATACTCAAAAGTTTTTCATTTTGATCAAGTCCAATATGTACTTTTTTCTTTTGTTCCTCATATGTTTCTATCACATATAAAAACTGTCCTACCTAACGTCATAGAAACTGGCAATGTATGAATGTAAACCATTACAGTAAATATACTGAAAAAAAAAAAACTGACACCACAAAACACTGTAAGAAAACCAACCTCTTTCCGTATCAATTCCACCAACAACCAGCCTGCGGGCCTGGAGGCGCCTCGGCCTGGGCCCACCACCCGGCGCAGGGCCCGACCCTGCGCATTCTCACCAGGCAAAGTAGCACGCGCAGCCGAGAGAGGGGCGCGGGGCGCCGCTCGCCTCAGTTCCAACTCACTGCTGCCCCGTCTTCCACCGCTGCCAGCTCTGACAGGAAGAGGAGCACAAGGTGGCCCAGCGCAGAAGGAAAGCCCAAGGGAAGAAACGGAAGCGCCGTGTGCTCGGCGGGAGGCCGGAAACGGAAACTCCGCACGGCGTAGTGGGCGGGGCCTGGGTTGCGTGCCCCGGATGACGGCTTCTAGTCTCGGTGAGTCTGATGTTGGCCCAATCGCACGCGGTGAGCGCGCGTAAGGGCTCAGGCAGAGTCCAGGGAAGGCCATGGGCCGCGGGCCCATCCTGGGAGCCCCGCTTCTGCCATGAGGCCTCAGGCTGTTCGCTCGGGGCAGCGCACAGCTGCCGTTTCCCCAGGTGGGACCCCGCGTCGCCTCGCGGAGCCCTCACATTGGCCGCACCCGGGGCGGGTAAGTCTGCTCCTGGGGACTTGGCCGAGTCTGCAGTCGTTTGGTTGTCACATATTGGGAGTGGGGTGCAGTGCTACTATCATCCAGCTGGCGGGGGCCAGAGACACCTCTGCTTCTCACTTTGCACAGCGCAGCCCCCCACAGCAATAAAATCCAACACCCCCAAATGTCCACAGTGGGAAACTTCTGGAGGGCATGAAAATCTCTGAAGTCATAAATAAACTGGAAATTGTTTAGAATTCTGAGTAGGGCCCGTAAATGATGAAAGAGAGAGTCTACAGCATCTGGAGTCCCCGTAAAATCTCCAGCCACATGTCTTGAGCCAGTCAATTGCACACTGCATTAAGTTCTTTTTTTTTTTTAAAGGCAACCAGACTTCTTCCACTAATTTTTTTTTTTTAGAGAGAGTGAGAGAGGAGAGAGAGATAGAATTTTTTTTTAATATTTATTTTTTAGTTCTTGGCGGACACAACATCTTTGTTGGTATGTGGTGCTGAGGATCGAACCCAGGCCGCACGCATGCCAGATGAGCGCGCTACCGCTTGAGCCACATACCCAGCCCCTGCATTAAGTTCTTTCACCCATTTTAGGGATCAGATGGCTGGAGAGGAATAGGGCAAATTCAGTTTGGGTCAACAGCTGGGCTCCTATTATTAAATAAGGTTTTTTTTAATGTTAAAAAGTAAATGGGGTCATCTTCCTATAAACTTGTGGCCCCCCCCTTTTTTTTTCCAGAGAAGTATTGTTCAAACTCAGATTTCTGTTGAAGCCAGCCTCAAGAACCACCTGTCACCCATGTATGGTTTCCGTGTAACCGAGTGAGTAACATGTGGAATTTGCAACAAGGCTGTGTTCCAGCAGGCTGTGCTATGTAGAAGAACTGCTAATGAACTTTTCCCATGCCTATTCTACAAGGAGCCCTAACATTGAGGGTTTTTTAAAAATTAGGTCTGTTTGGTGGGAGAAGGCACTTAGATCTGTATAGCCATTTGTGGGTAGATAAGTCAGGAAATAGTTATGTGTGTAAGTAAGTACATACAAAACAAACATGAGGAATTTAAAATATGTGTATCTGTAGAGAAATGTAGATGTTTTTGCATGTGAAAAATATAAAGATTTTATATGTAAAGATGAATAAATTTTTATGTATATTTGCCTGCCCACGTGTCCCATGCTCCAAGTTCCTCATCCCTACACAGGTCTGTTGTCCGGGATCCTTTTTCTGTTGTTGTCAGGGGTTGTAGCTAAGCCATAATGTTTGTGATGGTCTAGGACTTGGTGAACTTCAAGGATGTGGTTGTGGAGTTCTCCCAGAAGGAGTGGCCATTGCTGGACCTATCTCAAAGAACTCTGTACAGGAACATGATGCTAAACTGCAGGAACCTGGCCTTACTTGGTAAGCCCAGTGTCATCCCTGCATTTATTTAACCACTCAAGTAGCAATACTTTCCTTTCAATTTATTTTATTGACATCAAATTCACAAGACCATGAGACATTTTAGCCATTTTAAGGTGTACAATTGGAAGCATTTAGTATATTTCCATTATTATGCACTCATCAATACCTAATTTTAGAATGTTTTCATCACTTCAAAAGAAATATCAGCCCCATTCATCAGTTGATACACATTCTGTTCCCTACCCACTGCTACTGGCAACCACTTAATGCACTGTCAATGGGTTTACCTATTCTGGATATTGCATATGTGTGTGTGCATATGTGTGTGCATGTATCTGTGTGTGTAGCTTGTGCCTACCTTCCTTTGTATAGTATGTTTTCAAGGTTCATATTCTATCACGTGTCAGAATTTCATTCATTTTCGTGGCTGAATACTATTCCAGTATTCATGTATCCTTTCATAAGTTGATGGGCATTTGGGTTGTTTCCAACTTTTGGCCATTTGAGTAGTGCTGCTGTGAACACTGGAGAAAAACCCTATGAACGTAACCAGGTTTCCATATCTTCTGCAATCAAGGTATTCTCCAAAGGCACAAGAGCATTCATACAAGGAAGAGTCATTATGAATGTAATCAGTGTGGAAAGACCTTCGGCACAAGTTCACCTTACTATGCACAATAGAATTCATGTAAGAGAGAAACCTTAAGAGTGCCATGAGTGTGGGAAAGCCTTCAGAAAATGCTCACATCTGACACAGCACGTGAGAACTCATATGGGAGAAAAACTCTATGAATGTAACAAGTGTGGGAAATCTTTTAACAGTACCTTTTCTCTAACTGTGCACAAGAAAATACATATTGGAGAAAAATCCTAACCCAATGCAGTGATTGTGGGAATGCCTTTAATAATCTCTCATCTGCTAAGAAGCACTTGAGAGCTCACACCAGAGAAAAATCCTACAAATACAATCATTGTGGAAAATCTTTGGCCAGTATTAATTCTCTGTGCATAAGGGAATGTGTAATAGGTAGAAGTGAATGCATTAACAACAGAACAGCACTCATTGGACTCTCATCCTTTGGATAAAATGAGAGAACTCATATTCTGCATAATGAATTATTACCCCACACTTTACAGCTTCAAATAAGAAATATTTGTTTTCTCACAATTTCTGCAAGTCAGGAACTAGGGATGGCTTAGCTCTGAATCCTAGATCAAGGTCTCTTATAAGGTTTTATCCCAGATGTCCAGCAGGAATTCAGTCAGAAGAGGTCTTTACTGATGAAGTGTTCATTTCCAGAACCCCTCACTTGCATGCCTAGAGAGTCAGTGCCACTTGTTTACAGGTACTGTGGTTTTGAGTGCAATTTGAATTTCCCCAAAAAGTCTGTGTTAAAGGTATAGTACCAGAGTGGTGGTATTGGGAAATGTTGTGGAGCCTTTAAGAGGTGAAGCCTTATGAGAGGTAGTTAGGTCTTTGGGGTGTGTCCTCAAAAGAGGTTGTGGGATCCCTACCTATCCTCTCTCTCCCCCTGCTTTTGGGCTTGATATGTGACCACTCACTCTGACACATACTCCAGCCATGATATGCTGCCCTCGCCAAAGGCCCAAATCCATGTGTCCACCCAGTCTTGGACTTGAAGCTCCAGATCCATGAGCCAAAATAAGTCTCTTTCCATACTATAAATAGCCTGTGCCAGTAATTTCATTATAGTAAAAGAAAGCTGACTAATCTAGCAGGAGACCTTCCAGGAGGACAGTCCCAGAATTGAGAGCCTCAAATGCTCTCTGAATGTTTCAGACATGAGAATTCATATGAGAGAGAAAGACCTATTGAATGGTCAGCATTGGAAAGTCTTTCACTTTCCCATGTTTCTTAGAAATTTGGGAGTTCATACTGAAAAGGAACCAGGAAATAGAAAGGATGATAAGTTTTCAGTGACGTCTCTTAACATTAGGAAAAAAAGTGAAGCATGGTGGTGCACATCTGTAATCTCAGTGACTTGGGAGGCTGAGGAGGAGTATTGCAAGTTCAGCAAAAGCAAGGTGCTAAGCAACTCAGTGAGACCCTGTCTCTAAATAAAATACAAATAAGGCTGGGGTTGTAGCTTAGCGGTCAAGCACCCCTGAATTCAATTCCCAGTACCACATAAATTTAAAAAAACTTAAAAACATTAGGAAAAATATGAAAATTATCCCTGGATATAATACCCATGAGTATATTAGTTCTGGAAAGTCTTTTGCTGATTTCTCCCTTCATTATGTATATGAGAACTCATACTGGCGGGACACCCTAATGCAATCAATATGCAGTTTCTTGATTTCAGCCCTTCAGTAAGTGGCCACAGAATAAATTATACTAATAACAAAAGGCTATAAATGTTAAGAATGTGGGATTACCTTTATCCATGGCTCATCCTTAAGTTGGGTCACTAGCTCATTAAACTTTAGTTTTAGTATATTAACATTTTTTGTTTTAGTAGATAAACATTCATGGCCATAGGTATCTTCCACATCTAAAATTACCTAACATGACTTTACATGCAACATATTAGTTGAAGTTAACTTAAATATTGCATATTCAAAAAGGTGTTTTCAAATAACTCTTGAGTGGCTTAATTTGTCATAATGGAAATTAGGCAATATTTACAATATAAATTTTTCTAATGTAATAGTTTTTTCTAAGAGTGCATGAACTTTATGATATTGGTTCTGTTTCTCTTTGTATTCTAGTGTGGTGAATACTGATAGTTTCTTTCCCAATGTCCATTTTCCCCTATTTATTTATTTAAGGCAAAAAAAAATCCACAAATTAATTCAAGATGTCTATGAACAATATTGAAAATACTCAGTGTACCAGACTTTTCTGAAGCCAGAATGAGTTTTGACCCACTCTCTGGCCATGATAATAAGGTAGAAATCACTAGGGAGACACCATCTGTCTTGTTTGCCACACCTATTTTCATTCCTTCTTTTGGAACATGGACACAGGGCATAGAGTGGAGAACCTTTTATTTATAACTATGATGACAGAAACCACAATACAAAAAAAAATCACAATAGGGAGCATTTTATTGCATCAGCTCTGGACTGTTTATCGGTAGACTTCTCCTTCCATGATTAGAAGTAACCCAAAACTGGTTGAATCCAAAACATGTGTGGGAGTGGGGGTGTGACAGAAAGAGAGTGAGAAAGAGAGTGTGTGTTTCGGCAGCTGTTTTATTATTTTGCAGCTGAGTGTGATAGCTGATGAGCCTATTAACTGATCCATTTTTATAAATGCTACATGTTCCTATGAAAGCAATGTATATTCTTTCTTGCATTCAGAGTATATGTCCAACTACTCAAGCTAATTAATTGTGTTTTCCCACATAATGTGCACTTCCTTTTTTTCTCTTGACCTGACATAGTGCTAGAGGTGTATTAAAGTCTTACATTTAAGATTGTGGATTAACAAATTCTTTCTGTAGTTCTGTCACTTTCACTTTATTTGTTTTGATGTAATGTAACGAAATACAAACAGCTTTACACATTTTCTTGGAAATCACTCCTTTTCAATAGGGACCATTTTTCCCATGGCATAGAATTTTAATACAGTAACAATCAAACTTTTCTGTCACTCCCATACAACATGCACTCCTCTAAGTGCTTATGAATATTAACTAAATACTCATTTAGAATTTGGGGGTATGTACTATTATCTTCATTTTAAGGATAAGAAAATTGGAATGGGATGGTTAAGTTACTTGGCCTAACTTCACCAGCTATCAAGTTGCAGAGCTTGATTTGAAGCCAGACAGTCCATGCACATAACCATAACCCCTGTTCACTGAGTCCATTCTGTGTGTCCAAATAGTTTGAGATACCATGGCTGCAGTAATGGATCAGACTCAAGTTGTCATTCAGACATTTATATCCTACTGGAGAGGAACAGCTTGTAGGAAATCAATAATAGGTTATTATGTTTAATGAGAAAATAAATCATTGTAGGAGAGTTAATGGGCGCTAGGAACTTAGTATTTTATATGCAATAGGAAAGGAAAGCCCCTCAAATAAGGGACATTGAGCAGAGACCTTAATGAGGTGGTGAGTCATGTGGATTTGGGATGGAACAGGTGGGGAGTGATGAGGGAAGGATAGATGAAAATATGATAAGAGGTGTGATAGATTCTGATCTTGATGGGGTACATGGATTATTGTTAAGGACTTGTCCTTGTAATTTCAATGAGTTGGGATGTCAACATCCCACAGGTAACTTTTGACACACTTCAATTAGGACAATTTGAGTTTTCATGAAGGGCCTACTGGACAGAATGTAGGGAAACCACCAGAAGCACTTGAGATGGGATATCCATCTTCACTGTCTTCAGACACTGGTGTTCCTGGCCCTCCAAGCTTTAGACTCAGACTCGGCCTTGTACCATTGGCCCTTTCATTCTCTGGCTTACACCATTGGCCTCCCTGGTTCTCAGGCCTTTCAGCTTGGACTGGAAATACAGCACTGTCTTTCTTGGTTCTTATTGCCTATAACTTGTCCCACTGCTCTTCTGAGTTTCTCCAAGCAACAGGACCATCCCATATCCTAGGTGCACTTATTTTAAGAGGCAAGTGCATCTGAGTGGCATACAAGATGGACTGTAGTGGATGTGGTGGTGTGCTTTCTAGATTATTGTTTCCTCATCTGCTGGATATATTGACTATTAATGGCTTGTGCTTCCACCTTTGTGAATTGTCTTAAGCCAAAGAAACTGCCACACATAAAAGTATGCATCTTCCCAGGGTGGCCTGCTTCCAATGACTGTTTGATGCAAGAGATACAAAGACCCAGCCGCTTTTCTCAACTCAAGAACCCTAAAGAGCAACCTCAGCTCCATATTTCCCCATAGGATTGACTGCCACCTCAGCTAATCACAGGTTAAACTCTTCTGCCCTTCTCTCCTTAAGAGTTTTTCCCCAATAAACAAAACTCCCATTGCAAAATCTGTTTCTAGAAAACCTGGCCTGAGTTCAGATTACTCTTTCAAGTAAAGAACCCTATTCAGATAAGGGTTTGGCAGAGAGGAAGGGGAGCATAGAATGGAATGTAGAAGAATTCAACATAATGCCAGGTGCCAAAGCAGGAATAGAGGGCAGCTACACGTCTGGTTTGTGTTCCAAAACAGCCTGGTCCCAGCGTCTGAGGACCAACCCCAAGGTGGCATAAAACCAGTAAAACAAGCAGAGAGATGCTGGGTCGTACCGAGATTTATGACAGAAGCATAGTCCTGGATGGCAGTGAGGCCAGTTGTATTCCTCATGCCTCAATTGGAATGAATGAAAGAAGCCAAGACAAAAAGCTCTCTGTCCTATGATCACATTGCTTGACGTTCCAGAGAATGCAAAGTCACAGTGAAGAACAACAAATCAATGATTGCCCAGGGTAAAGGGAGGGAGATGATTATAAAAGGGCAACACAAAGAAATTGAGAAGTAATAGGACACTTCTTTATCGTGAATATGTTGGTGGATAAACACATCTATGCTTTTCCCAAAAACTACAGAACTGTGCAACGCAGAGTGAATGCTGCTGTAGGTTAAATTTGTCAGTTGAGGAGGCCTAGGCATAATGACACCCCAGTAACATGAGATTCGTAGCATTCAGACCTCAGTTTCTAAATACCATTTATCCCAAAAAAGGAACCAGAGCTCCTTTAAGAAGGTTGACTTCAGGGCCAGTTCAGGAAAAATTTAAGATGATCCTGGAAAATCTGATAGAGCCAAAAAAGTAAGGAATGCTAAAAAAAAATGATGGGACCTTTTTGAAAGCACAAGCTAACCTGAGTGGTCCTCTAATTTGAAGAATAAAGAGTCACAGAAAGAAGTTTCAAAAATATGCCTAAGAATTCCGCTCAGGTCTGTGGATGGTACCTGAAGTATGTATGTCCAGGCAAAGACTGAGAGCCTTATAGGGAATAGCTACTGAAAGCTGAAAAGTTGTACAGGAATATCAGAGGCCACATATCCTGGAGAGATGGAGATTATTATTGGGGCGCTTATCTGGAATAGACTGACCTTGGTAACAAATTGTTTTAACTAAGAACTTGGAAATGCCACACCCTCAGAACAAGTATCATACACTAAGAGTAAAAGATGCAGGGCTAAGCACAAAACTAAAATAGGTCTTTCATTATAAAATCAGAAACCTAGCCTTAACAGACTCGGTGTGTTCATTAGCAGTATCATTGCCTGCCATGACAAAACTTAAGCTTTCAAGAATGATAGTAGCAAAATTGGGGGGCTCTATAATGTATAGTCACAATATCAAACACAAAAAATTATGAGATGCTAAAGAGAATAGGGAAAAGTTGCCTGTTGTGAATATATAAATCAATAGAGGCAGACCCAGACAATTCAGGTATTGAAGCTAACAGACAAGAACTTCAAAATAACTATGATGATTTGTCAAAATGGAGAAAGGGGGGATTGTGAAAAATGAAAGACAAACTGCAAATCTTCAAAACAACCCCCCAAAAAAGAGGACACATCAGTTAGACTAATGATGGCTTTTCAGAAGAAACAAAGCAAGAGAACAATGAATGGCATCTAAAAGTGGAAAAAACTCCACAAATCTTAAATTCTATAACTTGAGAAAATGTTCATCAGAAATGAAGATGGCTTCCAAAGGATCTTTTCAGAGAGCCAAAGTAATCACCAACATAACTATCAAGAAACAGTATAGTTCTTTGGGTTGAAGGAAAACAATCTCATATGGAAACAACTCCAGCAATGACTGAAAATCAGCAGGAACCATAAAATTCAAGAATATTGACTTTATAAAACAATCCTGTACAGTTTTGCAACTTTTAAATCTAAAATACTTCTAAATAAAGAGCTACTTCCAACACTATAAATAATAACAGCTCCCTAAGTGACTCTCTCCAACTGCCTCTCGACACCAGAGAATGGGGAGCCCAAGCCCACTGACCCACTCCAGTGTACACCAACAGTACACACAAGCAGAGCTCCAGAAGTGGCTCTCCCCAACTAGGGGCAGGTGGAGCCCCATCCAATAACACCTC